GAAAGAAAATTGTAAATACAAAATGAGCTGTATGTGCCCATTTTCTGTCGCTTAAAAAGAATACCTGAAACTGGGTAATTTATAAGAAAACAAAATGTATTTCTTACAGTTAGAAAGGCTGGGAAGTCCAAGGTCAAGGAGCACATCTGGGGAGGGCCTAGTTCCTGGTGGGGACTGTGCAGAGTCCCGAGGCGGTGGAGGGTTGCGTGTTAACATGCTCACTTGCTCTCCTTATAAAGTCACCAGTGCCACTTCCGGGATAACCCACTCATCCATTAACTCACTAATCCATTAATCCATGAATGAATTAATCTATTCATGAGGGGATAGCCTTCAAGATCCAATCGCCACCCCAAGACCCCACTCCTCAACCCTGTCACATTGGAGATCAAGCTTCCACATGAGCTTTGGAGGGGACAAACATCTAGACCATCGCACGAGCGCTGACTGCAAATTGGCTGCTTTTTCCTCTCTGAGGCTCGGCTCCCCATCTGTAAAATGGGGGAGTGTGGACTAACCTGTGTCCTGCCCCACGAGGGTTGCAGCACCTGGCCCACCACAGAGACCGGAGCATGGAGCCCTCTGGCGAGCCCAGAGAGCAGGTTCTATGGCATCTTCACCTCCCAGAGACCACACAACCTCTTGAACTGGAGCTTGGATGAGAAATCTGTTTGGAGTGTACTTGAGCCCTAAACCCCAAATCCCTTCCTCTTCAAACCAAAGCCAAGCCTTGCTGGCAGGGGCATTTTCCCCCATACTTCGGCCGCCTTCTAGCTAATGAGGTATGGAATTAAAATTCCCCAGTACACGGCAGAGCCCTTGGGCTGGCTCACCAGCTGCAGCTGACCAGCAGTGGTGACTAGATGAAAGAAGCTGATGGAGACACTCCTGTGGTCACTGATTCAAAAGGTCAGACCCATGGGCTGATTTTTCAGAATGCCATGTCCTGTGTCAAGCTAAGTCTCTGACACATTCCACAGAAGTGCCACACACACTCACCTCATTTGGCCCTAGACAGACTCTAGAAGGTCAGTCACAACTCACCGGCCAGCACCCAGGAGGCTGGAGCTTCAGAGGAGGGCCTAGGCATGCTGGGTCGGGCGCGGCTTTGCTTCCCGGATCTTAGCCTTAGTTTTCCTTGGCAGGAAATGGGAAAAGTGTGGACTAAATCTTTTTTTAAAATAAACTTTTTGTTTTGGAATAATTTTAGATTTACAGAAAAGTTGCAAAAACAGTACAGAGAGTTTTCAAATATCCCTCACTCAGTTTCTTCTGATGCTGTCCTTTTTCATTACCATGGTACATTTGTCACAGCTAAGAAATCTACATTGGTACGTTATTATTACACTCCAGACTTTATTCGGACTTACTCATTTCTCCACTAATGTCCTTTTTCTATTCCAGGATATCACACTGCCTTTAGGATTTAATTGTTTATAAAATCCCCTCCCAGCTCTAAAAGCAGAGGAGCAGTAAGCCTTCATGTTAAGGGCTCTGGGTGTGTGAATTAGCAAATGACCGTTGTGCTGTGTGATGTTGGGCAAACCTCTTACCCTTTCTGAGCCTCAGTCTCTTCAGCTACAGTAGGAAGACAGTAACAGCACTGCCTCAGGAAGGGGCTGTGATGTACTCATTTGCTAACAACTCATGTGAAGCACTTAGCATGACTCTTGGTACATCATGAGCAATACCTTGATGAATCTCAACTGGTAGAAATCACAGACCAAAACCAGGACTGACCCAGCATACGGTACGCTTCTTCGCAAAAAGAAAAAAAAATCTCCCAGCAAAATGGCTGCTCCGAAAAAAAGACATCCCATTGCAGATCTAGCACATCACACCCAATGTGGAAAGCACAGGACAGAAAAGGACAAAGATCTAAAGTCTCGGAGCACCACCACCACCACCCCTCCTCCCATTCATTAGCTGTGTACCCTTGGACAAACTCTTCAGCCTACAGGTCTCAGTACCAGCATCTGGTAAATGGGAACAAACCATCCAGTTAACAGGGTTGCTGAAAAGATAAAATGAGACATGTACTGTAAAACATTTAACAAGATTAGGGTGTAATACCTGGCTGTTTCTTTCTTTTTCCTACCTCTTCTAGGAACCACTAAGTCATTGACTGCAATGGAGATCATTAAAGAATTAATTGAAACCTGATGTGGGCAGTTCCCAGGGGTCGGTAATGGGATCCTGGGGCTCTTTTGGGGGGGGCGGGGGGGCAGTGAGAGGTGAGGGTGATGGCTGACTAATGGTTAACCACTTGCCCTACTTTTTCCAGTCAAAGCCATGTTGAAAAGCCAATTCCATAATCTCCATTGCTACAATGCCTTTCCTCATCCAGAATGAAATTAGGCAAGGAACCCAATCATGTTGCCTGTGCCTAGTTTTAAAAGGAAGCACAGAGCTATTTCCATAGCCACTCTGGCAAAGATTCTACAGAGGCTCTTTTCACAGAATCACAGAATAGCAGCTGAAGGGACCGAAGAAATCAAATGGTACCACTCCTGTTTAAGGATGACCGAGTGAGAACCAGGCAGCCTGCTTCATCAAGGTCATACAGCAAAATATCTTCAGAGCTAGAAGGAGACCCAGCTCACAGGATTTCCACTCCTGTGCTCTTGGCTCTTTGACTTGGAGGCCCATTTCTGAGTTGCTAGAGGATATCCATCCATCCATCCATCCACCCACCCACTCACCCACCCACCCATCCATCCATCATCCATCCATCCATCCACACATCCATCTGCCTACCCACCCATCTGTCTATCCATGATGGCATTTGACACTTTCCTTGTTGTAGGCACTCTGCTGGGTGCAGAGGAGCCAGGGGAAGAACAAGACGGTCACAGTCCCTGACCTCATGGAACTTTCCATCCAGTAAGCTAGGACCGAGTCTTGGTCATCTGTTTCCCAAGGGTCGACCACAGTGTCTGGCACGTGGTGGGTGCACAGTAAATGTTTGTTGAATGAATAATGGATCTCTCATCTTTGTTAATGCTTCTACCTTCATGACTGATGTACTGGGTCATTTTGAAGATGTTAATAGAGCTAAAGACTCAGTACTTGTATTTGTCTTGAACCACCTTTTCTCATCATTATTCTTACCAGAAGACTCTGTGGCAGTGTGCAGACATAATAATGACATTAGGCATGGAGTCCAAAGACTCAAGTTTATATCCCAGCTCTGAGCTGCTTACATCTGAGTGTCTACTGAAAGACACTTGAGCCTCAATCTTCTCAACTATAAAGTGGGGAAATATTTGACTTGCCTATTTCACTCAACTGTTGTGAATACAAAAAGGGAGAGAGACAGACAGAGGGAGAAAGAAACTTCCAGAAAGCATGATATAAATAAAGGGTTATTGAGATGTTACTTGAATAATGTATTCAAATGACAAATACGTTGAGCACACAAGGCAAAATAAAAGTGATCAGCTTTTCAGCACACTCTCATTCTGACCTTCTATCATTTAACTGGTTGCAATTGCCCCAGATTTGTTCCAACCTTAGAAGAGATTAAATTTATGGATTTGTGGCATCACATGTCATGCCAGCCAATCCTGACCCACATTTCTCTCCATTTGGTGCATGTAACAACAGTACAAAGGGGTGTTGTAACCTTAATTGCTTGCAAAGTATTTTGAAATCCTTAGATTAAAAGCTCGGTGAGTCCAAAGTATTAGCATTCTGTATGCCCAAGGAGTTATGCTGAGCTGTGTCTGGGTTCATTGGAGCGGGGAGACACAACGGTGTGTGTTCTGATGCCTGCCTGCTCCAAGAGCTTTGGGGTTTGAGGTCCTATTCATGGGATGGCCCTAGACAAATACCCAGCTTCCTAGTTTCTAAGCTACTCAGGCATTTGGCCATTTCGTACATTGCTTCTGATGTGCTTTTTCCATCTCTTTTAAGTTCCTGGGTCACAAGGCCCAAGTTGTACTAACTTCAGTGTCATGGGTCTGCTTTCCTGGGTGATCTCAGCCTGAGTCCTAGAACAGGGCAATTGAGTCATCTGTCACTTCTGTAACACCTCTTCATATAAGCCCAGAGTTGATAAGTTAGTCCTTTTCATAAATTTTGCAGTTTAGAGTTAAAATTCTGTTGGTGGTTACCTTTGGAGGGGGTGCTAGACAGGGACTGAAAGGGGCAGAAGGGGGGTCCTAAGGTCCTGTCACTGTTTTACTTTCTAGATCTGACTGCTGGTTACGCCAGTGTGCTCAACTTGTGAAAATTCACTGAGCTACACACCTGTATGTGCACTTTTCTGCATATTTGTTGCACTTTATAAAGTATTTTTAAAAATCAGTCTGGACACTAATTTACTTCATTTAGAATAGATTCTGAAGTAGTAGAAAGGCTATAAACCTAATTAAATCAAAATCCTTTTTCTTTTTCTACCTTTTGTGATTCAAATCAATGTCACCTTAGATTTTCCTCCCTTCAATTTCCATTTTTACACTTAAAGAAAAAAAAAAGGAAATGCCTCAATTAGCTGTTTTAACTAGGTCTAATGTAGGAGGGGTTGGTTCTCAACAGGAAGTGCCAGGATACTTCAGGGAACTATGTGAACCTCTGTAACGATAACAAAATTCTGTTGAGTTCACAAGTGACACCATTCTGAGGAGTGTCCACAGCTTTTGTCAAATTCTCAAGGGTCCCTGACTCCAAAAAGACTAAAAGCCAGAAGGATTCTCACAACTCAAGGTTTACCTATCTATGGTCCTTTTCAAATGTTTCTCAACTCTAAATTCAACTTGTAGCACCCACCAACCTGCTTTCACCAAATGGAGTACACCCATCAGAATGAATCTGCCACTTCAATGAAAAAAGGCTTATGGGTTTCAAGTCCGTGTACGTCACACACAATAATCATCTGCCTACTTTTCCATCCACCCCTCGCCCCCCAAACTGGAAGCCCTGAGGCCAGAGATCTTTGCATCCCCAGCATGGAACTGCAAAAGACAAAGGAAAATTGGATTCAAAAGAAATTCACCATGCCTATTTATGAAACCAGATTTATTAAAATTTCTCTACAAGTCAGAAACAGCCGTCTCACTGTTCACATATGTACACATGTACAGGAAGGATCTAGTGTTTCTAGCTTTCCTGGCAGCAGCCCCTGCCAGCCCAGAGTCCTTAGCCGGATCACGTATCACAGATACAACAGTCGAGCAACCACGACAGCGTTAGTGCGACAGAGATCTCTGTCCCCCCCTCCTTTCCAAGTCCCATGATTCTGTCAAGGTAATATTGCCAATAATCATTCACATTTCACGTGGTCTTAGACACGCAGGTTATTCAGACAGACACAGACAACAAAACAAGCCTCAGAGCCAAAACGACAAAAAAAAATCAGACATCTGTATAAAAGGTAAAATATATGTACAAAGTACACAGTACGTGAGGTATACACAGCATTCTCACAATGCATGTTAGCAGTTTGCCTAGGCGTAGCCCTTGAAGATGACTGCCCATTTTTGTGTGATTTCTCAGAATGCAGTATGTTTTGTTTACCCGTTTAACCACCTGATTTCAGTACTGTCCATGACAGTTACTGATATTTCATCTGTAATTGTTTTTTTAATGCAAGTTGAAGTTTCTCCATTAAGCCTGTCTTTTGTAGAGCGTGAGTTCCCATCTCTGGAAGCATTCAAACAGATGCTGGGTTCTCACTTAGAAAACAAGCTGCTGAAGGGGGTTCCCTGTGTTGGGAGGTGGCAGAAAGAACAAAGAGGTTGGACTGGATGATTTTTAAAGTCCCTTCCAACTTTAAAGATTTGGGGCTTGCTATTTCACTCCAGAAGCCGATTACACAGATGTGTTCATAAACCACAGCACATTTGAAATATGAACCACCCATCATGCAAAACTGCATTCCAACTTTAAAGATTTGGGGCTTGCTATTTCACTCCAGAAGCTGATTATACAGATGTGTTCATAAACCACAGCACATTTGAAATATGAACCACCCATCATGCAAAACTGCAGACACACACACAATGTTACAGGCAGTCCATACTCGTGAGGGGTTAGAGTGTAATTCTGGAAGTTAGCCTGAGAATCTTCTAAGACTACCCAAAATTCACTTTCTTCAAAGTAAAAAGATGATTAACATTTGCTGTTGGGAGACGGGGGTAGGGAGTCTCCTCATCTTTCTCCTCCTAGACAAAATGTCCCACCCTGAGATGGTCTTGGAAAAAAAATAAAAGATAAGTGCTAGCATATTTGGGGCGAACCTAAAAGCTAATAGTTTCCAAGTGCTCAAATTATTTTTAAAAATCTCTCTGTCTGAGCTCAGAGTTCTGAATTAGCCATGAGTTCAAATCTTTTGTGATACTCTTCCACGGTTAGCTGGTAGGTGCTTTTACAACTAAAAGGGGAAAGTTTCAAGGTCAAGGAGAAGGCATTAGTGCATAGGAGGTCTTGGCAGGAAATGGAGGAGAGTCTGGGTTCATGGTTCAGGCAAGCTCCTGAGTTCCTAAAACAGTCTGCTCCAAAAACAGAGCAGAGTCATTGGTAAATGTGAGTGTGAAGAAAACATGAGTGTTAAAACAAACCAAAATAAAGAATTTTCTGATCAGAGAAGCTGTGGTAGCAAGTCCAGCTACCAAAACGGAGTTCAAAGATGGCAGGTTTATTGGCCCAAATTATTTGTCACCTTGTTAAAATACGGTTATTGCCCAAAATGCCATTGTGAAATTTGCTTCCTCTACAATTCCGATGTTCAAGTTCATTATGCTTAACCACGTGGTGTAGTACGTCCATACTCTTTGTCACCTATAAAAGATGTGGAATCCCCCAAATCTGACAAAGGGATAGTTGCCAAGGGTTCATTAAGAAGGGAAACAAGTTTGCAGGGCAGCCAATCAGAGTGTATGCTGCTCAGATCAATAGTCACTCATCTCCACGAACAACAGGAGACACCATGTTGAGTTCAGCCACTACAATGTGACGTAGTCATTTATCTGGTTGGCACCACGCCAAAAGGCCTGTCCATCTTTAGAAATGGAAATGCCATGTGTGAGAATTATGAGGTTTCTGAGGTTTTTGGGATTAGCAGAAGAAGGAACTAATGTCACTGTCCTCCTGGTACTCTGGAACAATCTGATCTGAAGTTCCTATTTCTGAGTCGACATATCCAGGTTCCAAGACAGACTCAAACCAGGGATGGAGTAAGATCTCGGGAGCAGTGAGTCTCTCCAAAGGCTCCCGTCTCAGGAGGCTTCGAATGAGGCACCTTGCTTTCGGGGAAATATGGTCGGGAATGCAGAACTGTCCACGTCGGATTTTGGAGAAAAGGGCACTGGGGTCTGAGTCATGGAAGGGGTACCGTCCAACCAAAAGGGTGTAGAGCATCACCCCGAGGCTCCAAACATCCGCAGCCTTTCCAGAGTAGGTCCCTGTGGTGTTGAGAATCTCGGGGCTCACGTAGGCTGGGCAGCCGTGTTTGTCTGACAAAGCATCATCTTCTCCCTTGATTATGTGTGTGTCTTCTAGACTTTCCAGTCTGAGCTGGGTTCTGCAGAAGAGAAGAACCAGCCATTATTTCCAGACCAGCTGCTATGAAAAACAAGGCCTTCCCAATAACATCACCCACAGGCACTAACAGCAAAGGCCCAAGGAATGCCATTTACCCCTTCATCCAGTAAGCAGTGCCCTGCAACCACCCAGGACTCGTGATTTCATAAACCAGTACAAACTGCAATAAATGTTTTCAAAGTATCAAGACAGCACCCAGGGTGGAGGGTATGATGCAAAGCCCCAAATAGTATTCATGATGCTAGAGCTTACAAGAGATATCCTAATAGGGGTTACACAATTTACAAAGTTCCCATTGCAGAATTGGGAGCTTGTCTCAGGGGAATGCTGATATTTCTACAAGCTATCAGGAAAGAGCAGTATATCTTACTTCTTCAGGGAGGGCCTGAGCATCCTACAAGCCGATCTTTTATCCTGCCACAGACTGCCAGAGCTACTTAGACTCACACTTTGCATAACAGAACACAGAGCCCAAAGTCAGTCCTATTACACACAGGTTGTCTTTCTTCAGGGAGGGCCTGAGCATCCTACAAGCCGATCTTTTATCCTGCCACAGACTGCCAGAGCTACTTGGACTCACACTTTGCATAACAGAACACAGAGCCCAAAGTCAGTCCTATTACACACAGGTTGTCAGCACTGCTGCCCACATTGATATACACACACAGAGGGAAATTTGTCCACCTGAGCCCAGGCCATGACAACTATGATGGGAAAGTTGCAAGGAATGTTAATTACATTTATTGGGGTGTTTAATTGCAAAGAACACTTAGCCTGGATGGAGAGGTTATGTGAGCAAACAAATGTGGCTGGTGGACTTAGATGCAGGGCCCCTAAAACTCCTACAAAGGCACACACGACCTCCCCTAGGATGGCACTTCAACACACAAGCATATTGATTCTACATGGGCTCTGTTCAAGTAACAACTAAAATCTGAAAAATCTTTAGTCAAAGCCCCAGTTATGAAGCTGCAGGTGCCTTCTGATTTAGAACTAGCCACCCAAGTCTCCTGGATTCCCCAAAGCCCAAAGCCACGTGGGGAACATCTAATATCCGGTGGCAGCCTGCCTCTCCCTGCTTCTCTGAAATGGCCCTGTTTCAGTAAGTCACTTGTTGTGTCGTTAAATGCAAACATTTGGTACTGGCTGATGGGTCAATTCCTTTTCCTCTCAAAGGTCTGGTATTTTTTTTTTTTTTTCTTCCTGCCTTCCTGTTCCCTGGAGTGTAGTATACATGTGCTAACTTCGGTATGTCCTCAGCGTGACCTCCTGTCGTTATGTAAAATACCCATTGGTTCTGTAAACGGAAAATATGACTCAACCCACACTGTCTTGCCCCTGATTGGCTGTTGTAGTACTAAAACCCTGCACCTGTGCTGGTTACCCGAATAGCGTCAGCCTGCCTGCCATTGCTTAACCCCCAGGTTGCCAAATGCCATGCCCATGACATTCGCCTGTGCAATGCAGATTTCAACAGCTAGTAAGGTGTGTAAGGCATGTTTCAGAAAATGCATCACAATAGCAAAGGGGCATCTTCCAGGAATTGGAAACTTCTTCATTGCAAAGAGTTTGCTTTTCTTTGCTAATCAGTATGTTCCAATAATTATTGCAAGGTCAGATACAAAGTCATGCTTTATGGGAACTCCGCTCTGTACTTTTTTGTATGCTCTGGAGTTAAAGATAAAAATGCACAGGTGGGGTAAGCCCTGTGTGAATAGCTACGGCAAAATAACTCACTCCCACCTCTACAATCCTACAGTGTTATTTTGCTCTTATTCTTTCCATGAGGACTGTAGTCTACCTCTTAAAACCAGGTATGATCTAAGTCCTGCAGCTTCCTGAATTCTCTTGTCTGAAACCTCAATTTTGAATCTCAATGCCTCATTATTCTCTTATCAAGCTCATCTTGTTCTTTATGAGGTAAGCCATGATCTATATTTAGCAATCAATTCTAGCCAACTTTCATTTATTATTCATTGTGGCTATTTTCTGAAGGATGCATCGAAACAACATGTCTAAAAAATCACCAGAGAATAAAGAAAAGAAAGCATGGGGGACACAGCCTGAGAGGGAACAGGAATGCACTGTGAAAGAGAGAGGCAGAATTTTGCAAATATGACAATCTAGCTCTATGATACCTGCTAAGTATAAAAACAACACTTGATCAGCAAGGATTTGAAAACTTCCTCTAGGAGTCAAACTCGTGAAGGACAGGCTGATATTCGTACCCCAGAAGACTGACCTTTCTGACAACAATGGGAAATAAACCTGATCCTGGAGTAGAAGTGGGAAGGGCACCCTGTACATGTGATATCCCACAGAGGCACCAAGGTGTCCTCAGGCCCCATCCAAGAAAGTACAGAATAAACCAACCTTGGCAATGACTCCTCAGGAGCAGGACTTCTAAATACTAAATCTAGGGTAACTGAACCCTTGGTTTTGTTTTGCACCAAAACACTGCACCTAACCTGACAACCTGCACCTTTGTTTCAGTTCCAAAAGGCCACAGGAGGAACTGTGACCGCCGCTCACCTCTCCTCCGTGGAGAAGACGAATTTCCTAAGCTTCAGGTCCCCTAACACGATGGCCGACTGATGGCAGTGGGCAACAGCAGAGACGATCTGCTTGAAGAGCCGGGCAGCCTCCTCTTCCCTCAGCCTCTTCCGGCTTCGCACATAGGAGTGCATGTCCCCAAAGTCCTTCTCAAAGAAGACATAGGCCTTGGTTTCCCCGAGGATCACTTCCACGATGCCAGTAATGTTTCTGTGTGATGGCAGCTGGATGTAAGGCCGGATTTTGTCCTGGTAGTGTTTAATGGGAAACACCTGCAGAGAGAAGTTGGCCCGTTTAGGGGGATAGAAAAGCAAAGGCTGCCTCCCAAGTCCCTTAAGGAGCTGGGCTAAAGTTCTTAGTCTTTGGGCTTTGGATGACAGTAAGTTCCATTCATTCATTCCACAGTATGCAGCCCCAGCTCTTCCTAACACCTAGGGCTCTGGGCTAGCAAACAACCAAAGGGTTACCCCCTTTCATACAGATGATTTGAAAGAACTGTCTTCTGTACACGTTCCCGTCTTCCACGGGACCATCACGTCCAGGGAGCTAAGCCCCAAAGCCCCCACCCTCTGAGGCCCTTCCTTGTTTGCAGACAATGCTGGTGAGTGGCTGATAGAAAGCACCCCCTGGCATCTCCAGGAACTGAAAAGCAGCCCCCGGAAATGCATGTGTCTCCTGCAGATCCAAAGTGCTCAGCACAGAGAGAACACAGAATGTGGTGATTCTGCAGCCTCCAAGGGGAAGCAGGGGCTGGAGAACACTCAGAGCTGTCATTAGTCAGAAGGAACAGATGACTTGGAGGGAGAGACTGTGACAACGCAGCCTTAAGCAACCTGCCTACAGCCTGACTCAAGTGGAAGCAGCCTTGAGTTACAGTTCTCACAGGAGGGGGTATGGGATCCTCCAATGGTTTCTTTCATTTTGTTTGTTTATCCCCCCTCCCACCTTACCCCACCTCATCCCCAGGAATGGGCAGCATCTCCTCTAAGAAGCTGGCTGGTCTCTTTAAGGGCCTTTTGTTTAGTCGGGTTACTCATATCCTAGACTCAACTGGAAACGGTGACACACGGGCTGTCACCATCTGGATTCAGCTATTATCTGCTCAGAGGAACTGGAAGGGGTTGCACAATGGCCAGACCCACCCCACCTCTGAGGCCTGGCTGCTCCGGCACCAGCTAGAAAAATCCCTCCGCTGCCCCCTCCTCCCACCTCGCCCCACCCCACCCCACACACATACTTTTCCCAAAACAGCTCTTAGCCCCAGTCATCGAGAAGAAAAGATTTTTTTCCCTTTAAACTGGGCTTGATCGTGCATCTTAAGTTTCATTAGAGTAGGACAGTAGATGGCAGCAGCAGCCCCAGGAAGGGGGGGTTAGGGCGGGGGGCAGGTGAGCTGCGGAAAACCCAAGAGCGACTTTAACTAAGGTGCCTCTATCTTCCAGGTGAAAAGCAGCAGCCCGGGGGGTTCTCCAGGGTGCCTGAGAGGGGGGTGTCAGGCTCGCCAAGAGTACACTGTGGGACCGTTCTGCGTCTATGGGCGCTGGAGGACGACCCGGCGTATCCTGCTTCTAGGAGGTGTATCTCCTCCGGGATCCCTTATGTCCTACAGAAAATCGCTGGCCGGAAAGTAAAGTGAATGGAAGCGGGGGTTTCTAGCCAGTGTGGACTTTCCAACATTTTTCCTCCGGGCAAATTCCCTCGCCTCGGCTAAAAGACTCCGTCAGACTGCTCCCTTGGGAGGGCGGGGTTCTCGTCCTAGCGCGGGTTCAAGTCGGAATCCCCGAGGCAGGAGCCGGGCACGGTGTTCCCACCCTCTTACCACCTACAGCGGAGCCCGGGTGCTGTGAGGCGCCGGCAGAGAGCTGCCGGCTGCTCCATGCTCCAAGGAGGCACCCGCTGCACGGCGTCCTTCCAGGACGGGGGCTGGGGGGTGGAGGAGAAGAAGGGGAATGGCATGGCCCTGGAATCCATTTCAATTCCACAACTTATATGGAACGCCACGCGCTAAACTGAGCGTACGGAGAGGAATCCTGTAAAAACAAGCGGACGCTGCACTTCCTCTCGACCTCCGAGCCCCGACTATACCACCCCGCAGGAAACCCCTCAGTCCCCAAAAGTGTAAACCTGGTCAAATGCCGCCTTATCAGACGCAGCTCACTCATCCGCCCTGTCCCAAGCCCAAGCGCTGGCGGCACCCGGGCGCGGCGGGCCGGACCCGAGCACCTCTGCCCGCCACGCGTTCCGCGTCCCGACCCCGCCGGGTTCCGGCCCCAGGGCGCTTACCTTGCAGCGCAGCTCGCGGCCGGTGTGGATGCACAGCGCCCGGGACACATGCTC